TGTAACCTCTTTGGAGGATGGTCTGATAAGAATAGGAGGTAGGAAATGGCTAGGCAGTTAGGGTAAAGAGACCCCAAAGAAAACTAGCCAGTTTCTTGGCTAAAAGTCAAAATGTCCTTGGGCTTCTTAGAAACATATTCCATTCCAAAGGCCAAAAATGTAAAAAATAATTGGGAGCTTTTATCTAATCCTTAAAAGATTTTAGGGTTACCTCTTCAGAGGGGAGAATGTTAGAGTAGCCCAAAGTTCCATAAAAATAAATGAATCAAAGAAGAAGATAGAGTAGATGAAGTTATTAGAAAAATGTGATGGGGAGATATGGGAGGAGTTGGAGGGGAGGGATTGGGCATGGATTTGATTAAAACACCTTATATGCATGTATGAAATTCTCAATAAATTATTTATTTAAAAAAATTATAAGTATTGATCAGTATCTACTATCATCTATGTATCATCATCTATCATCTATCTATCTATCATCTATCTATCTATCTATCTATCTATCTATCTATCTATCTATCTATCATATATCTATCATATATCTATCATCTATCCTCTCTCTCTCTCTCTCTCTCTCTCATCATTTTGCTTCCACTTGCTTTGCACTTATTCTGTTTACTTGCTCACCACAGACCTTTGAGAAGTTAATTCACGAATAGGCTTATAGGTCTTTTGCCTGCTGGCTCTCTACTTAAGCTCTTCTAGCATTACTCTGCTTATTACCACATCTTTGCTTATCATTTGCATATTTGGAAGCCATACTGTTTCTTCTGCAGTCCTGCTCCTTCACCATAGATGTGTAAAACGGTAATATTTAGTATACCATGGTTTAATTCATAGTCTAGAATTGAAAAAATATACTAATCTGTAAAATCAATGACCTTTGGATTTTAGATTTATCAATGAAATGAAAGATTAAATCAGATGATCCTAGTAGTAGACCATGGAAATTTAGATCTTCAATTTCCTCCAAAGGCTCATGTATTAGAGGCATGGTTTCCAATGTGGTACTTTTAGGAAGTGATAGAAACCTCAACAGATATTACCTATTGTGAGATCTTTGTGTCTTTGAGGGCATGCCCTTAAAGGGGATTATAGGGCCCTGGTCTCTTTCTCACTCTGTCTTTTGCTTCCTGTTCATAAGAAAAGTAGTTTTGCTTTACTACATTGCTCCCACCACAATGTGCCACTACAGGCCTAAAGCTTGAACTGAAAATAAAAGCCGCATGTCCACATCTTTCTTTTTGATACAGTTATGAAAATCTGACTAATAGAAACTTTTCGCTAAGAAGCAGTGTATTAGTCAGGGTTCTCCAAAGAAACAGAACCAGTAGAATGAAT